GCAAGTAGATGCATTTTCATACACTGTTTTGTATCACTGTATCACATTTCAATCCATTCTAGCGTTATCCAATCGGTTTAGGTGGATTTGAAGTACACGCTGGCACATGATCATAAACTTAGTTACGAAGGAGACAGTCTGTTGATGATCTTCAACTATTCGAAGTACAATGTACATTGCCGATCCATTCGGGATACTTCGTGGTTATTTGACGTTCTTTATCCTCAGTTTCAGTATAATAGAATACTCGGTAGACGATTCCAGGTCATTCTTCTTTTCCATTGTGTACTGTTCCTCGTCAGTAATGCCGTTCTGTGTGGAGTGTACACGTGCATGTGGTGTATGTTGTGTCTGTTGCGAATGCTGCAGGGTTTTGTAGCCGCGCTGTTCAATGTTCCTCTTCAACTGCTATCAGGGCTTCCCAGTGGTAGTTCTGAAAGACCCGAATGGCGCCGGCACCCATACCATCCTCAGCCGCGAAGGAACAACCCAAGGCTGCCCATTAGCCATGCTCATGTATGCTATCGGCATACAGTCCCTTATCGAGCGTCTCAAGGATCCAAGTAATCACATCCAGAATTGGTACGCAGACGACTCGTCGTGCCTCGGGAGGTTGCTGCGAATCAAGGAGTGGTTCCTCTCCCTCCTTGAGCAGGATCCAGCGTTTGGGTACTTCGCCGAGCCCTCGAAATCCATCGTGATCGTCAAGCCCCATCATGTGGAGGCCACCAAGAAAATCTTCGGCAATCTAAACGTGCAAGTCGCCACCTTCGGTCGCTTCCTTGGTAGCTACATTGGTGATCCAGAGGGAGTCTCTTCCTTTGTCCGTAGCAGAATGAGTGATTGGGTCGATGGTGTCAACTGTCTTGCCAAGGCAGCAAAGGCGTACCCGCAGTCAGCACACTCCGCGTTTACGAGATCCCTCTCATGCGAGTGGACCTACCTCCAGCGTGTGCTGGAAGGCAACGAGACCGAGTATACCCCCTGCGGGACACTATCCGGCACGTATTCGCCCCCAGCTTGCTCGGTCGTGAGGTGCTTGACGTTGAGCAAGATCTGTTGGCCCTTCCAGCCAAAGTGGGAGGTCTCGGCCTGACCAATCCCGTTACGTCAGCCCCTGACGCTCATGCCACTTCGAAGCGCACCACTGAGTTTCTGCAGGCCGCCATTTGCACCGGTGCACCGGTCGACATGGCTCACCACATCAGCCAGTGCCGTCAAGTCACCAGCGAGGTCAGGAGCCGAACGCTCTCCCGTCGCATTGCGATGGCTGTGGAGCTGCTTTCTCCCTACAGCATGGTCTGGATTGCATGAAGGGTGGGCTCATCAAACGCGGGCACATCGATGTCCGCGACTTCGATGCCCGGCTGGCAGACGTTGCATGGGGAGGTGTGGCTGTCGAGCCGGTGATGGTACCTGTGCAGGATGGCAACAACCGTCCCACACTGCAGGCGGATTGGCTGGTCCGGGGAGTTTGGGAAGGAGACAGGGTGGCGTACTTTGACAACCGCATCGTGGATGCCGACACACTCAGCTACGTCCGCTCCAACCTCTCTTGGAACGCCGTATCCAACAGTGCTGCCTCTTCCAAGAAGAGAAAGTACAAGGCGGCCGCAGCGGAGCTGCGAGCATCCTTCACCCCGCTGGTCTGCTCAACTGATGGTGCACTGCACACAGAATACCGTGCGTATCAACGGCGACTTGCTATGCGCCTTGCCTCCAGGTGGGACAAGTCCTACAGCATGTCCTGGGTGCGGATCCACCATCAGTTTGCTGTTTTCCGGGCTGTCGACCTTCGTCTCCGGGGTTCACGTCGTCGTCTCGGAGGGCTGGCAATTTGCGATGGCGTCGGCCTTGGCGTTGGCCGTTAACATTCATGCGTATGGCACAACATGTTGTGTGTGTGTGTGTGTGTGTGTGTGCGTTTGTTTTCTTTCCTTTTCTTTTCAACCTTTTCAGCTGTCATTTGCCCTGATCGTACCTCATGCGTGTTTCACAGCATAGTACGTTTTCCGCTTATTTTCTTCTTCAACACACGCTAGCTGTATTACATGTACTTTGTTCTTGCCCGTACAAGAGGCTATAGTTGTTGCGAATGGTTCGTGCGCTGGAGTACTGCCATCGTACAAGTTCACTGCCTTTCAGGCAGTGAAATTGTACGGTGGCAGTGCCCTAGCGTACGTACCGTGCACCGGGATTTATATTCAATATAAATCCCGCGCGGGATTTATACTGGCCAATATAACCATGGCTAGACGAGCGCTGATTGGCTGAAAACAGGCCCTCCGTACCGTACCATGGTATAAAGGTAGCTATACTATAGCTATCTACGATAATACTTGTAATAAAATTATGTCGACACCATGTAGATCTACCAGACCAGAAAAGAAGTGATGAATGCCCTTTGTGACTTAGAGTCCTTGCATTTTTGCAGACAAGTATCAGCTCTTGTTACTCTATTTAAACTTATCCATATATCTCCAGAACACCTCCAACATTT